ATTCAAGCACTGGTTCTCATATGATCAACAAAGTTAAACAATGCCAAGCTTGGTCAATACTTAGGTGGATGACTACTTGGGAATACCAGGTGCTGTAAGCGTGGATGTGCAGGTGGTGTGATGAATAATGGTTTGGAATTGGAAATTAGAGAGCCAGGTTCCAATTTCAATCAGGTTCGTTATATTCACTTACATGAAAATACCCTTAGGAAAGGTATGAATTCACCTCTTCTCCCCAGCTATAGGTTAATTAGTAGTACTTGTATCAGTAAATCATTATCTCTAATAGTCTTACATTAGTATTTAATTTCTTACATTATGAGGTTGATTTTGTGAATACATATAAGAGATATCAGTTTAAATAATATTAATAGAGTTTTGGTGTTGTTACTTGTATTATTATTGTTTTGTTATTATTATTATTATTATTGTGTGTGCATGACTGAAGGGTTAAAAAGTTAGCATTCTGATCATAAAGTTCAAATTTGAATCTTACTATTGTCTATTTGTGAAGGAGATGAATTCTTGATAACATTAGCCTAAGGAGATGATCCTGACATGTAGCACTGTTGGGAAGTGTCTGAAAGCCATACCACAGGTTGAACCAAACCTTGTAAGTGAAATTGGATAAACAAAACTATTTTGGGACCTGTCAATGCTTGTGTTATCACAAAGCTACCAGTCATCATGACTGAGGTTTTGAACATGCTACCCTTGTTCAAATTGGCAAACATGTTTGATTATGCACTCCTAAAAACTAATTAAAGTCTGCTCAGTATAGTTGCAGGATAAACTGCAAGTTGGCTGTGTTAAAGAGACACAAATGTGCCTGAGTGAGTGTCTGCAACAGGGATTAGTTATTGACTCTTGCAGACAAGTATACATGGATATGAATGACCTGCCATACTTTTTTTTTTTTTTTTGCTAATTATTCACCAAATACAAGGCCCATGAGCCACTCAAGGCAGAGTGTTACTGATTGAGGTTGTTGCACACAAGAGAAGGTAAAAAGTGAAGTTTAAGAATATATGTAGGAAAGATAATAGTTAACTCTAGATTTAAAGAGGTTAAGATTGTAGTTAATTGGGAAGCATCCTCTTGGGAGTTTGTGCCACAAAGCAGTGGTTTTGGGGAAGAAGCTGTTCAAATGGAACTTCCTTCTTACTAATGGAATATTAAAGGACCATTTTGTGTACAATTTCATTTTTATTGGCATAAATTATTTTATTTATTTCTTTTTTTATAATCCCCTTCATGTGGAAATTTGTCCAAAAAGGAAAGAAAAATCTTTACATGCAAGACAAATATATTGTCCAAAACAATGTCAATCGTTATCTTCTGTCGTCTTAATTCCTTTTCTTTTATTATTCTCTCTCCTTAGGACTGTGTTTTCTTTTTCACGTATTCTCTTCACACTAAGTAACTCCTTGCATCTTGGTGGCTTTGAAATGATTAAAAAAAAAAAAAAAATATGCAAATTTTCAGTCATTGTTGTACAAAGAAAATTGTTTTATTGCCTGCAACTATTACAAATATTATTTTTATTTATCATATAGAAAGAAATATACCTTATTCAAATAATGTTACTGATTTGATAATGTTGTTGTTAATAATAATTGATTTTATTTTTTTTTTCTTTCTCCCAACTCTTGTGATATTGCAGATTCAACCCTGAATGTTTGTTCAAAAAGAAAATGTTGAAAAATAGTGCTATGGGTAAATGGCTAAACCATGTGCCCCCGCTGTGTGGACCAGGACACCTGGGTTCTCTACCCAGTCCTGTAGACTACGAATACAGATTACCTCAATATGGTAACATGAAAACTTTGCCATTTTCAGCACTTGTGGAAATTTTGTGTCGTAGCAATATTGTTTTTTTCCTTTTCACTTATTATTTTTTATGTCGCTTTCTGTAGCGTCTTTTTGCTTCTTGTCGTTTTCATGTCATCCTTGCATGAATGTATTCTTTTAAAAATAACTTCTTTTTTTTTTATTGCAGATGCATGAATGATTTCTTTTATTATGTATATTTTTATTTTCTTGATGCAACTGGCTTAAGAAAAAAAACTATAAATTTTAATAATCCAAGGTTAAATTAACATCAAAAGTTGTCACGATTTATTTTGTTGTTCTTGTTTTGACAGAATTCTATGCTAAGCACTGTGACTAGAAATAATTTGTATTTTTTCTCTATTTGGAAGCTGTCAGTAATTGTACTAGCATGAAGTAGCAAGTCATTGTGACTGAGGGTTAGTGTACTGGCCTTGTTCTGACTGTTGATCATGCTAGATAATGCGCTCTTTCCCAGAAATTGTAACTAAGATCCACTCAGCATAGTTGCAGTATAATCCACAGGTGGGCCCTGTGGGTGTTGAACAAACACAAATGTGCCTGAGCAGGCATCTGCAATAGGGATTGGAATAGCTGCTCTAGTAGACAGGCATACAAGCAGCCAGCCACCAGATTAAGTACTCCAAACCATGAAGATCAAAAAGAATATTTTTTTTATTAAATTTTATAAAAGTTAATAAGAGGGTCCAGTTTGCTATATAAATTTCTCTTCCTACCTAGATGAGGACAATAGCCTGAATGTAAATACAAGGGTCAGCTGAAAAGTTCATAGGCTGACCAAGATACCCTCATGGAATGCGACCAAATGAGGTTTATTTTTCAACATAGTTCTCCTTATGGTCTACACATTGTTCCATGAGTGTTGCAGTGCTTGCTTGCTGTTGGTGAAGAAAGTTAGTAAAAAAAAATATCATCAGCAACAGATATGACATCATCATCACAGGTGTCATGTGATTCCTGATTGGGCAATCTTTCTGATTCATGAATGATTTGAGAAGAATTCCCACAGTAGACTGCTCTTACTGTCTGTGGTAGACTGGTTGCCAGCCAAGGACCCAGCCTGTTCTATTTAACCCATAGCTGGAGGGAGAAGATATGGATTCATACATACTCACAAGTACTCTTAGGAAATGTAAGTGAATGTGACTAACTCAACTGAAATTCAAAACCAGCTTTCTGACTTCTCATTCTGAGCCATTATCCATCACGTCACCCACACATCCAACTGGTATTCTCAAAAAGTCACTCATCTAGGTACTGACAAAGCCCAGTGTTGCTTAACTTTAGTTATTGGATGAGAACCAGTGTTCCAGTGTGATGGAAGCCAAAACAAATATATTCATATGATGTGATTTCTTAAATTTTTTTTTTTTTTTTAATCAATTCACCCCAAGAAAGGCAATAACATTACCAATATGCAAGGGGGATACCTTTTGGAGGGAACCAGAAAGCCAATCCTAAACAAGAAACAAGTAAACCTCTACTCCTGTTCAAAAGACTGGGGAAGAGTGAACCGGATGATAGGCGAAAGATAAAAAAAAAAAAAAAAAAACTAAATTTAAAAAATGTGTAATCTTTGATTTTTTTTTTTCATTACACACTCCAGATTATGAATTTAAAAAAAAAATTATTTTAAGAATAAATTTTAAAAAAAAAATTATGGTTTATCAACCCCTTGTGGGTAATTTAAAGCCAAAACACACTTCAGATTGTAGGAGATCACTTACAGTACCAAATGTTCTCAAGCAGATCCTATCTAAGCACTGATCTTAAATTTTAAGAGAACATGTTGTATGAGCATATTTGTTTTGGCTTCCATAGGGGGGTGGGGGATCAATTTACAATTAATTTATATGGTAATCTGAACCCCTTTATTAACTTTTATAAAATTTTAATATTTATTTATTTATCTTTTTTTTTTTTTAATTTATATTTTATTTGAGATATTTTGTGATCTGGAGTGCTTACTCTGCAGTGATAGGAAAAATTATTTCTGATCAGTCTATTGTATAACTCCCACTTTTTGTATTTCTTCTTTTTTGTTGCCTCTCCTTTCAGAGCATAGGCGATCATGGCTCTCCACAATTTCCTATCTCCTTGTTTTCTTACTTTAACCTCATTACAAATAAGACAATTTCTGGAGTAACATATTTTCATTTTGTCAGTTTTTTAATGCAAATGACTGACATATATTTGTGCATTTTCTTTTCAGTAGAAAATCTAGAATTTAAAATATAACATTTAATGGTATAAAAGAATCAGTGGCATATTTGACCCACACTTGTCATTTCAGCAGAGTATATTCAGGAAAAATTCTTTTAGCATATTTAAACATGTAATGTTTAAATCAAGCAATCAGTACATTATAAATCTCCTTTAGCTATAGCAAAAAAAATTATTGTATATAAAAAGCAAGTTAACAGAACAGCTGATCATAAATAAGTTGTGCTTTGTTTAGCTACTTCATATGACAGACACATTTTTCTCTGTTATGTTATGTTTTTCCAAAGTAGTGTTTTATCATTACCAGTATTTCATTTTAGTTATCCTTTTTGTTGTGGAGTAAATAAGACCTCCCAATTACACAAATGAACTAGGCAAGATGCCTTAAATAAAGAATTCAAAGTGAGTCAGTAGAAGTCCGTTGGAGTCAGTCAGGAAGAACTCTACTGATGTCATGGCAAGTAACCTAAGTAAGACATAATATGATAACTGCTAGGAGTCAGTTATAACACTTTTTCAGTAGTTTTCAGCTGGTTAATGATAGGACTGTGTTGAGTCACATGTAAGCATGATGGATCAGCTGGTACTGACAAATGTTGTTGGTACTTTGTTACACTAATTCCTTTAGTAGTGCAATGAAACTAAGTTATAGCTTGCCTTTTTTTTTTTTCCACAGTAATTTTCACCCTGTACAAGGCCCAAGGGCCACTCGAGGTAGAGGGTTACAAAGACGTAAGAGGCACAGTTTGAGAATATGTGAGGAAGATAATGGCAGGGAAGCACCCTCTTGGGAGTCAGTTTCACAAAGTTCATAGAAAGAAGCTGTTAGAATGGAATTTACATCTCACTAATGGATCACAAATGGGAATGAAGGTGGTTTGCTACAATGTGCATGGTCTTTGCTGTGAAGGTTAGAACTGATGGAACTAATGTATGTAGTTTGAATACTCTTCATGGAAATATTGATAAAGTAGAAAGATACTTCATGAAGTAAACTAGATAACCTGGGCTGCATTTTATTATAA